GAATTAGTTCGTATTGCAAAGAAGTTCTTTGCAAGCTGGCAGAATCCTTGCAAACAATGTGTTTGCATTGCAAAGAAATAGTTTGTAAGCTTGCGAAGAACTAGTTCGTATTACGATGCTTGAAAATTCTTTGCAAGCTGCAAAGAAAATAGTTTGCAATACGAACCTATTCTTTGCAAGCATTTTGCAGTGCACCAGTATAAAATTGTAAAATTCCGAACATCTCCAAAACTTTAGATCCGTGGTTAGTCCATTTCAATTTAGTAGTATAAATCTTTGGTAACCAAGGTTAGCCTGTATGAAAAAAAAAACGTAATCGAGGTTGCACCCTTTAAAAAATGTATTGAACTTGTAAAGACAGTGTGCAAAATCTGGGCGCCACGAGACAACGCTTTTCTGGCCCGAATCGCATTTGAAGTTGGGAACTCGAAACGGCCGCGAGAGAGACCAGCATGTTGATCCCCAGCTGCGCTCGGCTGGTGCGCCTAGGAACGACGGGGCACGGGTCAGGGGAGACCCTATGAACCCTACTTCTCAACTGCTTAAGTGAATCCAGTGTCACAGCAAACGCGTCCTCTACAGGAGCGTTAGTGTAGCGACAGCCCATGTTACGTTTGACGAAGCGAATTGGCAGTTTCGAGTGTTTTTATTTAGCGGACATCAGCGGTGCCCAATACTAAGAGTAAAACACTGAAAAACGCAGGATATCGGTGACGTGATCGCGGTGAAAATTTAAGTTATTTCAAAACCGCCTGTCAGGTAGGCCATAAACTCTGCAGGCGTGTAACGTGGGCGGTCTACCTGGCGTCGACACAGGCGCAAATACCCTTTTTAAAACATTTTCTTCCAAAACTCTTATCGGAGCTGGCGCTACCTAGCGTTTAGAACGGTATTGATCTGGGCATGGTAAGGCCCTCATATACACTAAGAAATAACATCGAAAAACACAAAGCTGATGAGTCGAACGTGACATAGGCTGTCGCGATACTCACGCCCCTGTAGTGTAGAGGACGCGGTTGCTGGCGAACTGGATTCTCTGCGACAGTTAAGAGGTGGGGGCCATAGGGTCTTACCTGACCAGTGCCCTGTCGCTCCTAGGCGCAACAGTAGTGCGTAGCACTGTATCAACATGGAGGTCCCTCTGGTGGCCGCTCCGAGTTCCCAACTTCAAATAGAATCCGGGCCAGGAAAGCGTTGTCTGGTGGCGCCCGGATTTTGCACAGGGTCGCTACAAGGCCAATGCGACTTTTAGAGAGTGCAACCTCTGAAGTCGCAGCCGTCGACCTTCTTTTTGATACGGGGCAGAGTTCCGTGTGGAATATTATTGGATATTATGATGGACCATAAACCCCTCCCAACTACAACAGTTGATATTTCATCTCAGAAGTAAGTCGATTTTATGTTTGAACGAAAACTATGTCAGAGACAAATTTTAACTCGATCGGCAGTATTGTTGAATAAAAACTCGTACGGCGTCGGAAAGCCCATGAAACACGCCTTCTTGCTTCGCCGCAAACCACGCAAGTATTATTAAAATGTAAAATAAGCTGCCGAATTCATGGCTGCCGATCCCACATTAGCTTATTTTCAGAAATTGAAGGATATATTTTGATCAGACCGAAGGGACACCTATGCTATTCGAAAGCTGGTGTAGTAATCTTATTAGTTTCGCACTCGTTCAACAATGTAATCGATTGGCTTCCATGAAAATTAGTTTTGTTTGCGCCCAGGTGGGGCCTCCGAGTGGTCTGTTGGTTCACTATAATCAAATTATAACCAAATGAAACCGAAAATGGATTGTAAAGGTACCTCGGTAAAGTTCGAACTCTGCCCGCGCGATACCACTCATGTGGTTGGTCAAAATATCATAAAGCTTCAAAAAGTGCGGAAAACACATGCGTTTGCTCGCTTAACCGTCTGGCGCAGCCCGGGACGCGCATGGAGTTCGGCCTAAGCGCTCCGTTTCTACTCCCTGATTATGCTCTCCCAAGGACGAATTTTCAAGTTACATTTGATTCTTTTCGCCAGACCTGTGGTCCATTTGCGAACAATTCCACGGACTGCGTCTTGCGCCTTATTAAGGATCGTATGCATGAATGGTGAATGGGATGCTACCGGATTTTGTGGGTGTCCAGTCAAATTTCTTTCACCAATTTCTCCGTTGACTTGAACACTTCTGTGAATTCATTTGTAGGAAATCATGGACTTTGTCGTAAATATGTGCGAAACGAGACGTAGTTTTAACTTTGTGCGAACATTTGCACAAAAACATACAAATGCATTTAGTAGGCTCATAGACTACACCATTTTTCACCTATTTGAAATTCGACATCTCGAACAACAAAAATACCGGAAGTAAGAATTAAGGGGGTTAAGGGTTTCTCATAATAGAGGTTTGCCATCAGTGCGACACAATTTACTCTTCTCTGACCTACATTTAGTCAAAACTATGTTTCTACGGCACATGCCACATGCCGCTTTAATCTGGCGGTATTTAATGGCAGAAAACGTTCCACAAACCTTCCGACTTTCGGTATTTTTGTTCTTGGAGATGTCGAAAAGCGCTCGGATGAAATAGGATAGTGTTGTGCTCTTTAGATTCTTGTGCCCCTTTTTCATACATTACCGTATGTCCACATAGGTAGGCTGAATCGTGTAGTGAGCAGCGCCCATGCTGCGGCAATGTGAAAACCTCCGATTATTCCAATCGGCCACCACGCCAACTCTTGGGGTTTACATGCATTACTTTTGGCAGCAGTTTCCGCAGTTGTGCACAACTTTAGGTTTTTTTCTGACATCCCTGTCACTTCTGAAAGAAAACGAGAACACTAATTAGAACTAGCTAGGCGTGCTCTTTCGACAAACCAAATTGCCAGCTCCGCTTCGCTCCACCGACAACTCGGTTCCTCAGGGAGCGGGCCTAGCTTGGCCTCCCGGCGGCGTTTTTAGGACGGTTCTTCGGCTCGCCCCTTCTGATTTTTCATGGTGTAATATAGCATCTATCGGAAAACGGGACTTCGGGCCGTTTGAGTGACACCTCGCTTTGAACCATCTTTTTGCTGTCTACTTTGTAATCAAAACTCAACAAACGAAGCATTCTTTTCATACGCTGAATATCTTTGGCTGTGCTGCGGTTTGTAGAATAGATACAAGTTATCAAATCCCTTTTCAGTCATTGATGTTAGCTTATGGATCCAATAACACACGCATGGAAAGATATATTAGACTAGGGCCGAGGGGGTATCCACTCAGGTAATAGTCGGGTCGCCCGTCCGGTAATAGTTTGGTAATAGAGGTAATAGTCAGGTAATAGACGTAATAGAAAGGTATTAGAGGTAATAGTGAGGTAATAGAGGTAATAGAGACGTAATAGTTGGTAATAGTTGCCCATGAAGGGGGCTTTTACCTCCCAAAATGCATTTTTGGGACATTTGTCAA